CATCAGTTCCCCCAACCCCACATCAAGGCTCAGGCACAGCCCTAGTAGGCAAGACTGGACACTGGCCCTGTGTTAGTCCATTTTGTATTGGTATAAATAAATACCTGGCGCCAGGTGAGGTGGCTCATGCCTGTAATCCCAGCACTTTGGGAGGCCGAGGGGGGTGGATCACCTGAGGTCAGGAGTTCAAGAACAGCCTGGCCAATATGGTGAAATCCTATCTCTACTAAAAATACAAAAAAAATTATCTGGGCACGGTGGTGGGCATCTATAATCCTAGCTACTCGGGAGGCTGAGGCAGGAGAATCGCTTGAACCCAGGAGGCCAAGTTTGTGATGAGCCAAGATCGTGCCATTGTACTCCAGTCTGGGCAACAATAGTGAAACAAGAAGGAAGGAAGGAAGGAAGGAAGGAGGGAGGGAGGGAGGGAGGGAGGGAAGGAAGGAAGGAAGGAAGGAAGGAAGGAAGGAAGGAAGGAAGGAAGGAAGGAAAAAAGGAAAAGGAAAAGAAAGAAAGTCTTGAGACTGGGTAGTTTATAAAGAAAAGAGGTTTATTTGCCTCACAGTTCTGCAGGCTGTACAAGCATGGTGCTAGCACCTGCTCAGCTTCTGGTGAGGCCTTAGAAAGCTTATAATCGTGGCAGATGATGTCATCACATGGCAAGAGAGAGAGCAAGATAAATGCCAGGTTCTTTTATTTTTTTTATTTCATTTTCTTGAGGCAGGGTCTTGCCCTGTTGACCAGGCTGGAGTACAGTGGTGCCATCACAGCTCAGTGTAGCCTCAACTCCCTAGGCTCAATCGATCCTACTGCCTCAGCCTCCCAAATAGCTGGGACTACAGGCATGCACCACTATGCCCAGATAATTTCTGTATCTTTTGTAGAGAGAGGGTTTCACCATGTTGCCTAGGCTGGTCTTGAACTCCTGGGCTCAAGTGATCCACCCACCCACCTCGGCCTCTCAAAGTGCTGGAGTTACAGACATGAGCCACTACACTTGGCCTGCTAGGCTCCTTTAAACAACCGGATCTTCGTCTGGGTGTGGTGGCTAATGCCTGTAATCCCAGTGAGGGGTGACAACGTGCTAGCGGCCCTCGCTCTCGGCGCCTCCTCGGCCTCGGTGTCCACTCCGGCGGCGCTTGAGGAGCCCTTCAGCCCGCCTGGCACTGTGGGAGCCCCTCTCTGGGCTGGCCGAGGCCGGAGCCGCCTCCCTCTTGCGGGGAGGTGTGGCGGGAGAGGCGCTGGCGGGAAGGCGGGAGAGGCGCTGGCGGGAACCGGGGCTGCGCGCGAAGCTCGCTGGTCAGCGCGAGTTCCGGCGGGCGCAGGCATGGGCTTGGCGGGCCCAGCACACGGAGCGGCCGGCTGGCGCCGTCGGCCCAGGGTAGTGAGGGGCTTAGCACCAGGGCCAGCAGCTACGGAGGTTGCGCCGGGTCCCCAGCACTGCCGGCCCACATGCACCGCGCTCGAATTCTCGCCGGGCCTCAGCCGCCTCCCCGTGGGGCAGGGCTCGAGACCTGCAGCCCGCCATGCCCGAGCCCCACCTCGTGGTGGTCTCCCCCGCGGCCCGCGCCTCCCCAACGAGCGCCACCCCGGCTCCGCGGCGCTTGGTCCCATCAACCGCCCAGGAGCTGAGGAGTACGGGTGCACGGCGCGGGAGTGGCAGGCAGCTCCGCCGGCTGCCCGGGTGCGGGATTCACTAGGTGAAGCCAGCTGGGCTCCTGAGTCTAGTGGAGACTTGGAGAACCTTTATGTCTAGCACTCTGTATAGCTCAAGGATTGTAAACGCACCAATCAGCACTCTGTTGAAACGGACCAATCAGCTCTCTTACACATCAGCAGGCTGTGGGTGGGGGTCAGATAAGGGAATAAACGCAGGCTGCCGGAGCCAGCAGTGGCAACCTGCTTGGGTCCACCTTCCACACCGTGGAAGCTTTGTTCTTTCACTCTATGCAGTAAGTCTTGCTGCTGCTTGCTCTTTGGGTCCACGCTGACTTCAGGAGCTGTAACACTCACCGAGAAGGTCTGTAGCTTCACTCCGGAAGCCAGCGGGACCATGAACCCACCGGAAAGAACGAACAACTCCAGACGTAGTGTCTTTAGGAGCTGTAACACTCACCCCGAAGGTCTGCAACTTTACTCCTGACAGCGATACCACGAACCCACCAGAAGGAAGAAAGCCCCAGGAGAATGGAGACAGCAGTGAGAGTGGAGTCTGGGGTCCTTATCCTGGTGGCCTGTCTGCTCCTGGCATGCCCTGCCATAGCCACTGATAAGACACACGTGCTGGGCCTGCAGAGGGACTTGGTGTGGAGAAGTCAAGAGTGAGACAGGTACAGGGAGCAGTGGGCAGACCGCTCAGGAAAGAGTCCTGTTTGGAGGCAGACCGGGGGTTGTGCATTCTCTCTGGGCAGGTGCTCTGCTCTTGCTATATTTGTTTTTGTTGTTATTGTTGTTTGTTTGTTTGTTTGAGACAGAGTTTCACTCTTGTTGCCCAGGCTGGAGTGCAATGGCGCGATCTCAGCTCACCGCAACCTCCGCCTCCTGGATTCTAGCGATTCTCCTGCCTCAGCCTCCTGAGTAGTTGGGATTACAGGCGCCTGCAACCACGCCCGGCTAATTTGTGTATTTTTAGTGGAGATGGGGTTTCACCATGTTGGCCAGGCTGGTCTCATACTCCTGAGCTCAGGTTACCCACTCACCTCGGTCTCCCAAAGTTCTGGGATTACAGGCATGAGCCACCAAGCCTGGCCTGTCTTTATGTTTCAAGGGGGCCTGAGATTTTTTTTTTTTTTTTTTTGAGATGGAGTCTCGGGCTGTGTCCCCCAGGCTGGAGCCCAGTGGCAGGATCTCGGCTCACTGCAAGCTCCGCCTCCAGAGTTCACACCATTCTCCTGCCTCAGCCTCCCGAGTAGCTGGGACTACAGGCGCCCGCCACCATGCCCGGCTAATTTTTTGTATTTTTAGTAGAGATGGGGTTTCACCATGTTAGCCAAGATGGTCTCGATCTCCTGACTTCGTGATCCGCTCGCCTTGGCCTCCCAAAGTCCTGGGATTACAGGCGTGAGCCACTGGGCCCGGCCGAGATTTGTTTTAATCAAGTATAGTAAGACAAGCAGATATGCAAATGACTATCAGGAGGGAAGAAGTTTGCTCATAGTTCCCTGTGAACAGGAAGCAGGCCATGCCATACAAGGCCACAAAGGGAAGCACCAGGTGGCATTCGCCAGGAGGCAGAGGGAGCAGGGGGGAAATGTGGGCAAGCCCTTTTGCCATGGTTTCCGCGGGAAGGAGTAGGCAAGGCAGGCTAAACAGGTTTATGATTGGCAGCAGGCTCTGGGAAAAGGGGCTGTCCCCAGCTTCCTGGTACCTGGCTCTGTGGTGATTACGGCTGGTTGATGGCAGCCAGGAGCTGAGAGCTATATAAAGGAGGTGGTTGGGATGTGGCTCTGGACTGGTTTGCATTTGCTCCCTAGAGAGTTGCCTGCCAATTCCAACTCCCCAGAGAGCTGCCTCCTATCTCCGGGAATTATCTAGCCTGGGAGAGGCAGTCCTCCAGTCTTAGTCTGTTTGTGTTGTTGTAAAACAATACATGAAGCTGGGTAATTCACAAAGAAAAGAAGTTTAATTAACCCACAGTTCTGCAGGCCGTATAAGAAACATGGTGGTGCCAGCTAGGCACGATGGCTCACACCTGTAATCCCAGCACTTGGGGAGGCTGAGATGAAAGGATTGCTTGAGCCCCCGAGTTTGAGACCAGCCTGGGCAACATAATGAGACCCCGTCTCTATATTTTTAAAAATAATTCAGGGCTGGACGTGATGGCTGATGCCTGTAATCCCAGCACTTTGGGAGGCCCAGGTGGATGGATTACTTGAGGTCGGGGGTTCGAGACCAGCCTGGCCAACATGGTGAAACCCCGTCTCTACTAAAAATAAAAAAATTAGCCAGGTGTTGTGGTGCGCACCTGTAATCCCAGCTACTTGGGAGGCTGAGGTCCTAGAATTGCTTGAACCTAGGAGTCAGAGGTTGCAGTGAGCCAAGATCATGCCACTACACTCCAGCTTGGTCAACAGAGCTAGACCCTGTCTCAAAAACAAAAAATAAAAACAAACAAATGGGCAAGTGGCTGGCCCCAAGGCTCAAGGCCCCAGTGGCAGGCCCGGTCTGGCCTGGAGTGGAGTGGTAGTGACTCTCAGGCAGGCAGGGAGGAGGAAGTTGGGAGTCAACCTAAGACCAGGCTCACCAGCTTGCTGGGAAGGTTACCAAGGTGCTGTGTGGTAAGTACTGAGAACAGCCCAAGTGTTTGTCTTTCACTCCTTCCCCTCGTGGGGGCTGCAAACTCACCCCATGGCCTCTCTGTCCTTCCCTCAGGGCCCGAAGTTGCTCAGCCTGAGGTACGTACCACCCTGGATCGTGTGTGAGGCCGGCAGGTGGGCGTGAAGGGCACAGACCGCCTTGTGAATGTCATCCTGGGCATTCCATTTGCCCAGCCACCACTGGGGCCTGACCGGTTCTCAGCCCCACGCCCAGCACAGCCCTGGGAGGGTGTGCGGGATGCCAGCAGTGCACCCCCTATGTGAGTAGTGTTGGTGGAGGCGGGCAAACCAGCAGGTTACTGGGGGAATCCTGCTGCTGGGGCTTGTGGGATTGAACAACTCAACCTCAGGCCCCACCCTTGGCCACAGGTGCCTACAAGACGTGGAGAGCATGAACAACAGCAGATTTATCCTCAATGGAAAACAGCAGATCTTCTCTCTTTCAGAGGACTGCCTGGTCCTCAACATCTATAGCCCAGCTGAGGCCACCGCAGGGGCCAGTAGGCCGGTAGGCACCCCAGAGGGCCCTGTCCACCCGATCCAGCTCCACTACTCCCACCTTTCCCCTCCCCATCCCTGTTTCCAAAGCACCCTAGAGGTCCTGAGACTGCCCTGGGCTGGCAGGTGGGCAGCTGAGGTCTCAGGATCTTGGGGGTCACTGCCCCATGGCCACCTCTGCAGGTCATGGTATGGGTCCATGGAGGCTCTCTGATAACTGGCGCTGCCACCTCCTATGATGAATCAGCCCTGGCTGCCTATGGGGACGTGGTCGTGGTTATAGTCCAGTACCACCTTGGGGTCCTTGGCTTCTTCAGGTGAGATGACGGGCCTGGCCAGAGCACTGCCTGCACCAGGGAGTGGCCAGCTCACCAGAGCAGCTGGGGATCTAGGCTGGGGACCAGAGCCTGAATGGAGGGCTGCTTACCCATGCTGTCTAGGGCAGAGAAGGGCACCCCCCAAACCTCCACCCTGGGAGAGCGGTCCAGCCAAAGCCAGAATTATACAGTGAACTTGGTCCCTGTAGAGGGCATTGATTCCTGGGCTGAAGCCCAGGTTCCAGCAGGATATGGGACAAAGAGCAACAGGCCCTGGAGATGCCAACCATGGCTCCCAGTCAGGCCAGACCTGGGGAGCAGAGAAGTGTCTGGCATCCTGGTGGCTAATTCAAAGCAAACCTGCAGAGGCTGGCGAGGAGCCAGGCTGAACTAACCATTGCCCCACACTGCCCCCAGCACTGGAGATGAGCATGCACCTGGCAACCAGGGCTTCCTAGATGTGGTAGCTGCTCTGCGCTGGGTGCAAGGAAACATCACTCCCTTTGGGGGTGACCTCAACTGTGTCACCGTCTTTGGTGGATCTGCTGGTGGAAGCATTGTCTCTGGCCTGGTAAGTCACCATAGGGGACTGGCAGTGGTGGCCAGGAGGGCTCCGGTGGTCTCAGAACTCCCAGCCCCTCTGCCCTCATCTGACAGCCACCTGCTGTCTCCACTGCACCCAGGTCCTGTCCCCAGTGGCTGCAGGGCTGTTCCACAGAGCCATCACACAGAGTGGGGTCATCACCAGCCAAGGGATCATCGAGTCTCACCCCGGCCCCTAGCTCAGGTCTGCATTTCCTTCCCTCTCTTACTCTATGTGTGCCTCCCGTACCCCACTCTGTGCTGGCCCTGGGGTCTCAGAGTAGTGGGGGTTGCTGGCAGGGAACTTCCTGTTAGCAAAGAGGAGCCCACTAGGATGAAGGAGGAACAGAGGAAACAACTGCTGCATTCCAGCATGTGGGCAGTCAGGGAGGGCTTCCTGAAGGATGCCACCCTGAAGCACATCATCGTTGGCCCTTTCTCCAGGGTGGGGTCTTGAGGAGCACCCTTCTCTGCCCCAGGCAGCATGGTGGAGGGGGTCTCCATTCCCAGCCACCTGCTGCCTGAGAGCTCTCCATTCAGGCTCCAGATCCCCACCCTACATCCTCATTGTAAGGCCTTGTGAAGAGAATCCAGGGGAAGCCACAGTGGGAACTACATCTGCAAAGGCTGCAGGTGTGGGAGAGAGTGACAGGTCCTGCAGCAGCAAGCTCTCAGGTTAGGGGACAGGGCAGGAAGTGAAGGCACTAGAGAAGTGGGGGCCATGCCTGGGAATCAGGTCCATCCCCTGGGGTGGGAGCTACCTAATGTTGCCACCCCAAGGAAGGCCTAGAAGCAGTCTGACTCGCCATATGCCTAGGGCGAGTCCTGGTCAGGCCCTGTCTGTTCCTCTGTGAGCCCCAGACCACAACACAGCCAGGCTCCTGGCCCTGGCCCACCTCCTGGACCCTCACCGTGCCCTACAACTAACATTAGTACAGGGCTGCTGCTCTGTCCCCATGTGGCTAGCTGGAGGCATACCCGGGTCTTGGCCTGAGCCTGGGGAGTGGGGCTGGAAAGGGCCAGGCCAGAATTCTGGGTAAGAGACAGCATTGGGCCGAGCATGGTGGCTCATGCCTGCAATCCCGACACTTTGGGAGGCCAAGGTGGAAGGATTGCTTGAGCCCAGGAGTTTGAGACCAGCCTAGGCAACATAGTGAGACCTCTGTCTCTATGAAAAAATTTGCCAGGCATAGTGACTCATGCCTGTGATCCCAGCTACTTGGGAGGGTGAAGTGGGAGGATCCTTGAACCCAGGAGGTCAGGGCTGCAGTGAGCTGTGATCATTGCACTCCAGCCTGGGTGACAGAGTAAGACTCTGTCCTTTTACAGGACTAAGGGGCTTCAGCAGATCACTCCTGGCCTCCAAAGGCACCCTGGAAGGAGAAGAGCTGGGTTTTGCAGGATAACTAGGAGTCATCTGTCCCTTCCAAGACCCTCTGCAGCTTAGTGCTGTGTCAAGAGTCAGTCCTTACACAAAATTCCCCCCACTCCTATCGTTTGTGTTTTCTTCTGTCTCTTTTTCTGTCTCTGTCTCTCTCTCTCTTTCTCTCTCTCCCTCCCTCCCTCCGTCTCTCTCTCTCCCTTTCCCTGTTTTTTGAGACAAGGTCTTGCTCTGTCATCCAGGCTGGAGTCTTTGTGTTTTCTTCTTTCTCTCCCTTTCTTCTCTTTTCTATTCTCTTCTTTCTTTCCCCTCCCTCCCTTCCTTCCTTCCTTTTCTTTTTCTTTCTCTCTCTCTCCCCTTCCTTCCTGTCTAAAACAAAAAAGCAAAAAACAAAACTGAAGCTTATTCTGATTAGGTAAAATGTTTGTGGTAAGCCCTAAAACAAACACTTAAAACAATGATGACAAAAACAAAATTAAAAATGCACAGTGAAATAAATCATTAAAGAGATTAGGCCAGGCACGGTGGCTCACGCCCATAATCCCAGCACTTTGGGAGGCTGAGGCAGGCAGATCACTTTAGGGTAGGAGTTTAAGACCAGCCTGGCCAACGTGATGAAACCCCATCTCTACTAAAAATACAAAAATTAGCTGGGCATGGTGGCATATGTCTGTAATCCCAGCTACTCAGGAGGCTGAGGCCGGAGAATTGCTTGAACCCAGGAGGCAGAGGTTGCAGTGAGCTGAGATGGCACCACTGCGCTCCAACCTGGGCAACAGAGCGAAACTCCATCACAAAAAAACAAAAATTAAAATACTTTGGCCGGACACAGTGGCGCATGCCTGTAATCTCAAAATCTTGGGAGGCTGTGGTGGGTGGATAACCTGAGGTCAGGAGTTTGAGATCAGCCTGGCCAACGTGGCAAAAGCCTGTCTCTACTAAAAATACAAAATTAGCAGGATGTGGTGGCAGAGGCCTGTAGTCCCAGCTACTCGGGAGGCTGAGGCAGGAGAATTGCTTGAACCTGGGAGGTGGAGGTTGCAGTGAACCAAGATCACACCACTGCATTCCCCAGCCTGGGTGACAGAGCGAGACATTGTCTCAAAAAAAAAAAAAAAAAAAAAAAAAAGGCCGGGCGCGGTGGCTCAAGCCTGTAATCCCAGCACTTTGGGAGGCCGAGACAGGCGGATCACGAGGTCAGGAGATCGAGACCATCCTGGCTAGCATGGTGAAACACTGTCTCTACTAAAAATACAAAAAATTAGCTGGGTATGCTGGCGGGTGCCTGTGGTCCCAGCTGTTTGGGAGGTTGAGGCAGGAGAATAGCATGAACCTGGGAGGCAGAGCTTGCAGTGTGCCGAGATTGTGCCACTGTACTCCAACCTGGGCAACAGACCGAGACTCCATCTCAAAAAGGAAAGGAGAGGAGGGGAGGGGAGGGGAAGAAGGGAGTTAAATGAGAGAAAAAATTCTGAGAGAAGCACAAGAAAAAGTGGACAGACACACAATGGTTATGATCAATTGTTATGAAAAGCAGCTGCCGCTTCCCATGACAGATGGGCCAGGGTCCCATTTGTGGCTGAGTGGCTGTGCAGGGATGACCCTTTTCCCTTCTCTTCCCAGGTGTCTTGGTCCCATTTGTGGCTGAGTGGCTGAGCCAGGATCCCATTTGTGGCTGAGTGGCTGAGCCAGGATCCCATTTGTGGCTGAGTGGCTGAGCCAGGATCCCATTTGTGGCTGGGTGGCTGAGCAGAGGTGACCCTTTTCCTTTCTCTTCCCAGGTGCCTTGCACACCAAGAAGCCTCAAGTGGTCACCAAATATAGAACCCTGCAAGGAAAACAGATGCACGTGGGGAAGACACCCATCCAAGTCTTTTTAGGAGTCCCCTTCTCCAGACCTCTTCTAGGTGTCCGCAGGTTTGCGCCTCCAGAACCCCCGGAGCCCTGGAAAGGAATCAGAGATGCTACCACCCACCCACCTGGGTAAGAGTCAGAGGCCTGTCCGCGGGAGGGGGCAGTGGGCCTGTGCCTGCATCTGGGTGGGGCTTTGCACAACTCACTGAGAATAACTCACTGTGTGACCACAGGCAGGCCTAGGGCCCATTCTGGGCCTCAGTTTTCAGACCCATATCATGAGCTAACTGGTCCCGATGGTGTTTAAGTCACTGACAATGCTGTTGTTGGTTTCTTTTCTTTCTTTTTTTTTTTTTTTTTAGATGGAGTCTCGCTCTGTCACCAGGCTGGAGAGCTGTGGCATGATCTCGGCTCACTGCAACCTCTGCCTCCTGAGTTCAAGCGATTCTCCTGCCTCAGCTTCCCGAGTACCTGGGACTACAGGTGCATGCTATACCACGCCCAGCTAATTTTTGTATTTTTAGTAGAGATAGGGTTTCATTATGTTGGCCAGGATGGTCTTGATCTCTTGACCTCGTGATCCACCTGCCTCAGCCTTCCAAAGTGCTGAGATTACAGGCATAAGCCACCACTCCCAGCCTTGTTGTTGGTTTCTTAGAGGAGAGCTCCAGGCAAGGGGGGGGCTGTCACTGACCGTGCCCCAGCACCTGCTGGGGAGCTGCGTTTTCCTGAATGTGTCTGAGGGGCAGTGTTCACTCTCACATCACCCTCCTGACCCATTCCGGAGCTCTTCCCTCTCTCTGGGGGCTGAGGCCTGAGTCACAGAAGCATAATTGGAACAATGACTGCCCTTTGAAGCACAGGGCTTGGCAGTTTACCCAGAACAAGTGTATTTACTATTTATTCAGACTATTGAGTAATCCACTGTCCAGAACATTCTGTGGCAATCATTAACAATGCTCAGCATCGGTTGGTTAAAGCACAAGGTTTAGAAAAATGTCTGAGAACCTGGATATCAGCTGATATAAAAAGATACAAATACCACCCTAGGTGTCTAGCTGTTAAAAACAGGTTGTTGGCTGGGCATAGTGGCTCACACTTTTAATCCCAGAACTTTGGTAGACCAAGGCAAGAGGACTGCTTGAACCCAGGAGTTCAAGACCAGCCTAGGCAGCATGGCAAGACCCCATATCTACAAAAAAATTTTTAAAAATAGCTGGGGGTGGTGGTGAGCACCTGTGGTCCCAGTTACTCTAAAGGCTGAGGTGGGAGGATCACTTGATCAAAGCCCAAGAGGTCAAGGTTGTAGTAAGCCATGAGTCGCCACTGACAGCACTCCAGCCTGGGCCACAGAGTGAGACCCTGTCTCCAAAAAAAAAAAAAAAAGAAAAGAAAAAAAAAAGAAAGAAACAGGTTGTCCACTGTTAGAACACGACCAGCAGTTACTAAAATACCAGGGTGTTCATTGTCAGAACATTGGCTGTCACTGGAAAGATCCCAGTTATCCTGAACATTCTGTGACTTATTTAGAATCCCAAAGATCAGGTGACAGAACATGGGATGGCCACTGTTAGGACCTTGGAGATCAGGGATTTAGAGGTTAGGACGTTCACTGTATAGAAGTCTGAGTGTCAGGTGTTAGAAACTGACTATGAGCTGTCAGAACAATGCCTGTTTGGAAACAGAGTGTCAAGTGTGAGAATTTGTGGATTGCTCAGAATAGCCCATGGGTGGTGGTTGCAGTGGGCAGCGGGAGAGAAGGATGTTGCAAAGATAGTAGTTTCTGCCTGAGTAGTTACCGGGGAGGTGGAAGGAAGGTATCAGACTCCAAATTTATTTAGAAAGTAAAATTGACAGGATTTGCTGGAGAATTGGATATAAGCCACAAGGGAAGAAGAGGAATCACTGATAATGACTAGTTTTTGGCCACAGCAGACAAGGAAATAGGGGTACCATTTATCAAAATGAGGAAGACTGGAGCAAGAGCAAGTTTGGGCAAAATAGGAATTCATTTTGAGCCAGGAGCAGTGACTCAGGCCTGTAATCCCAGCACTTTGGGAGGCCGAGGCAGGAAAATCACTTGAATTCAGGAGTTCCAGACCAGCTTGAGCAACCTAGTGAGACCCTGTCTCTACAAGAGATTTAAAAAATTAGCTGGGCGCAGTGCCGTGGTCCTAGCTACTTGGGAGGCTGAGGTAGGAGGATCGCTTGGGCTTGGGAGGTTGAGGCTGCAGTGAGCTGTGATCATGCCACTCACTCTTAGCCTGAGAGACAGAGTGAGACCCTATCTAAAACACACACCCACCCACACACACACAGTTCCTTTTGGGGCCTGTTAAACTTGACGTACTGACAGATGTTCCATGTGGAGGGCAGGTAGGTGGCTGGAGAGAGGAGACAGAAGGCAAACTGATCATCAGCACATCAGTAGTATGAAGCTCCTGGGCCTGGATGATGGGAGAAAGGATGGTCAGAAAAAAAAACTGAGGGTCGAGGACTGGGCACTCTCATGCTTAGGCCTGGAGAGGAGGAGGAACCACTAACAAGGTGGCAGGAAAATCAGGAGCACGGGGTTTTACAGAAGCCCAGAGAAGGAAAGCTGTTCGAGAAAGAGCATCTGACCGGGCGTGGTGGCTCTCACCTGTAATCCCAACACCTTGGGAGGCTGAGGTGGGAGGATCCCTTGAGGTTAGGAGTTCTAGACCAACCTGAGCAACATAGTGAGACCCTGTCTCTACAAAAAATTTAAAAATTATCCAGTGTGATGGTGCGTGCTTGTAGTCCTAGCTACTTGGGAGGCTAAGGATCACTTGAGCCCAGGAAGTCAAGGCTGCAGTGAACTATGATCATGTCACTGCATTCACCTGGGTGACCCTGTCTCTAAAAAAAGAGAGGAGGCTGGGCACAGTGGCTCACGCCTGTAATCCCAGCACTTTGGGAGGACGAGGCAGGTGGATCACGAGGTCAGGAGTTTGAGACCAGCCTGACCAAAATGGCAAAACTCCATCTCTTCTAAAAATACAAAAATTAGCTAGGTGTTGTGGCATGTGCCTATAATCCCAGCTACTCAGGAGGCCGAGGCAGTGAGCTGATATCTCCCACCCGAACCCAGGAGGCGGAGGTTGCAGTGAGCCAAGATCGTGCCACTGCACTCCAGCCTGGCCGACAAAGCGAGACTCTGTCTCAAACAAAAAAAAGAGAGAAAGAGACAGAACAAAAGGGAATATAATGTGGTCAACCACGTTGAGGGTTGTCAGGGCAAGTAAGACAATGACAGAGATTTAGCTAGATGGATGTCACTGGTGACCATGGCAGGATGGCTCTGGGGGTGGGATGGACACAGAAGCCTTGGCTATTCATAGTCCCAGTTCCTGGCTATCAGAGCCCTGGCTTTCCTAGTGAGAAGGTAGATGTGGTTTACTAGACAGCATTCTAATACCACATTAGCTGCTGCCAAGAAGTCAATCAAAGAAGACAAAAAACAATCTATAGAGATACAGATGCTGATACCTTGGAGAAACTGGGTCTCTCCTGGGAGTGGAGGGGAAGGCAGCCTGTTAAAAAGTTTGGCCTGAGGGAAAGAGAGATGGGATAGTTGCTGGGAATGTGGGTGGGGGTGGACAGGTTTGGCTTGAGGAGTGTTGGAATGCTGTAGGGAAGGACTGGTGAAAGGGAGCAGTGACGCTCTGGGAACAGGCTAGGCTAGGACAACAGCAGAAGGGAGCAGAGGAACAAGGCGAGGCAAACAGGGTGTCCTGCACCCCAAATGGTCCAGGCCCAGCTGTTATGAGAATAGACACCTAGGGGTTGGGCCAGCAGGGAGAAAAGGCGAGGTGGCCAGAGAGCCCATGCTCCAAAAATACCCCAAATATCCACAAAGTATAAGGCACTGGGCTGGGTGCCAGGACTCAGATGAGTCTACCTCCATTCCTGCCCTTGGGAAGAGCATGGTCACTTGGGGAGGAAAACAGCCAACTGAAATAACTCCAGCCAGGACACAGTCAACAGCAGACAGGAGGCCGGGCACGGTGCTCATGCCTGTAATCCCAACACTTTGGGAGGCCGAGGTGGGCAGATCACTTAAGGCCAGAAGTTCGAGACCAGCCTGGTCAACATGGTGAAACCCCGACTCTACTAAAAATACGAAAATTAGCTGGGCATGATGGTGTGTGCCTGTAGTCCCAGCTACTTGGGAGATTGAGGCAGGATAATTGCTTGAACCTGGAGGCAGAAGTTGCAGTGAGCCAAGATCGTGCCACTGCACTCCAGCCTGGGCAACAGAGCAAGACTCCGTCTCAAAAAAAAAAAAAAAAAAAAGTGGACAGGACATCAGGAGTCACAGAAGAGGAAGTGACCAGCAGAGGAGACACCACTTGAGCTGGGCCTTAAACAGGGCTCAGCAAGGAGGGACAGGATGGAAGCACCCCTGAGCATCCCTTCTTCTCTCTATAGAAGGTTGCCCACCTGGCTGGATACAACCAGAACAGCACACAGATCCTGGTAAACTGCCTGAGGGCACTTTCAGGGGCCAAGGTGATGTGTGTGTCCAACAAGATGGTAGGTAGAACATTCCAGCTGCCTGACCTGGCTACCTGAAGGCCATCCTCCTATCCTGGTACCCAGCCACCCCCAACTACTTCCCCAGGGACCCTGTCTCAAGAGCACACTGGGGAGACTTCCTTTAACTCTGATCCCTTCCTCTCCACCACAGAGATTCCTCCAACTGAACTTCCAGAGAGACCCTGAAGAGGTAATCAGGCCACATTCTGCAATTTGAGTATTTACTGAGCACTACTTTGTGCCAGGCACTTGGGATACTTAGGGAATTGTTCAGGCCAAGATCCTTTCCCGAGTGGAGCTGATGTTCCAGTGGGGAAGGACAATAAACTCTGTAAATAAATATATTATCCACCTCCTTAGAAGATGATAAGTGAATAGCAAGGAATGGAGAGGGTAAAGGGGTTAGACATGTTGGGAGGTGTGGACTTTTAAATAGAATGGATAGGACAGGACTCAGTGAAGTGAAATTTAGCAAAGATTTTCAAGAGGTGAAGGAGTGAGCTATACAGATACCCGCGGTAAGCATCCCAAGTCCACGTAGCTTGGTCCTGCCTATCCTGCTCCCCTCCCACACCCATCCTCCTGGGGCTCACCATGCCAGCTCCAGTCTTTTTGCAATCAAAGAGCCTAGGCTAGAGCAGCCTCTGAAGGGGCACCAAAGGTCGCAGGGACCCTGGGAGGATACTTGAGGAGACTGGCTGGAAATGCCCTTTGCCTTGTAGATTATCTGGTCCATGAGCCCTGTGGAGGATGGTGTGGTGATCCCAGATGACTCTCTGGTGCTCCTGACCCAGGGGCAGGTTTCATCTGTGCCCTACCTTCTAGGTGTCAACAACCTGGAGTTCAACTGGCTCTTGCCTTATGTAAGTGAGTAGGAGTTCAATTGGCTCTTGCCTTATGTGAGTACCACAGTGGAGGCAGGGAAGGATGCCTCTTGGACAGTGCTGGGCACCAGGGCAGATGCCAGTAGCCCTTCTGGGGATGCACACATATTTGGGAGCCTCCTGTAGTCCCTGTACAGTAAAAACTGGCCATGAATGTTGGAGGGGAAGAAGGGCAAAGTGTGGCCTGTTGGAGATTTGAGGGCCAAAAATTCTCAGATCATAGTTTAGATGGCTTATGATGTTCATTCTCAAGCCTCTAGGCAACTGCAAATCCTGAAGCCCTCCCTTGCTCCTGGGTCAGGGTAGATGCCCCAGCTCAGGAGGGACCCCCACTCAGTACCACTTCAGCTCTAGCCCAGGTGGTAGTGATGAGTAGGATGGGAGCAGGCGGGCAAGAGAGAGTCATGGGCCCTTCCTGGGCTGTGTGCTGTGTCTGAGAACTCATCATTAGATGGGCAAGACCCTTGGGGCCTTTGTGGCTCTGGCCAGAATCCCTCCTAATGCTCAGGCCTGACCCACACTGGGGTCCTTGGCTTGTGAACAGATCATGAAGTTCCCGCTAAACCGGCAGGCGATGAGAAAGGAAACCATCACTAAGATGCTCTGGAGTACCCGCAGCCTGTTGGTGAGGGACCCAGCTGGCAGGGGTGCTCAGTTTGGACAGGGCTGACCCCCCATTTTTTTAACCTAGTAGCTACTCTCTGCAAAGGGGCTCCCATCCAGGGTAAGGATCTTTCTTGGAGGGCCTGGGGTTTGGTGTGGGATCAGATGACTGCTTATAGGTAAGGTGCTCAGGGTCATAGGGGAAGTTATGCAGCAAAATTCGGGGTTACAATCTGCTGAGATGGAAACTTTCCCAGGAATCTCCCTTTTTCCCCTCCCAGGCCAAAAACTCCTGGGGGGCTGAGCCTGGATCCAAGTCACTGGTGGGCCCACCTCTGGCCCAGCTGGCACCCAGGCCTCAGATAAGTGTGGCCTCCCCACCCAGAATATCACCAAGGAGCAGGTACCACTTGTGGTGGAGGAGTACCTGGACAATGTCAATGAGCATAACTGGAAGATGCTACGAAACTGTATGATGGACATAGTTCAAGATGCCACTTTCGTGTACGCCATGCTGCAGACTGTTCACTACCACTGAGGTATGTGGGGTCCCCATGAGTGGCCACACTGGCCCTGTCCACTCTCCAGGTGTGCTGTTTACCAACTGGGCTTATTGACTGCTCCCCAACCCTCTCTGTACTTCTGGGCTAGTGTAGGATTCTAAAATACCACAGAGGAGGCAGCATGCTATCAACTATAAGAGAGGAAGGGGCCAGGAGCGGTGGCTCACGCCTATAATCCCAACACTTTGGGAAGCTGAGGTGGGGGCGGATCATTTGAGGCCAGGAGTTCTAGACTAGCCTCACCAACATGGTGAAAACCAATCTCTACTAAAAATACAAAAAAATTAGCCAGGTATAGTGGTGCATGCCTGTAGTCCCAACTACTCGGTAGGCTGAGGCAGGAGAATTGCTTGAACCCAGTAGGGGGAGGCTGCAGTGAGCCAGCATCACACCACTGCACTCCAGCCTGGGCAACAGAGCGAGACTCCGTCTCAAAAAAAAAAAAGGGTATAAGAGAGGAACTGTTCTTCCTTAGGAACAAGGGCAACCTCAGACAGTACAGAGGAGAAGCTTGGGGTGGTCAGGGAAGGCTTGCTGGCTGAAAGGACAGGCTTAGGGGCACCGTGAAAGTCCAGGCTGACTGGGGCTAGGGAACATGTGGGTGACAGGTTAAAGTGGGGGCTGGAAACTGCAGACACCGAAGACCCTTCAATAAGAGGCCAAGAAAGGAAGGTTCAGAACAGGGAAAAGAAAGGCTTCCATGATCCCGGCCACAATCCTGTGAATTAGGTTTTAGCATTCTCAGTCTGAAGATAAGGAATTATTGATACAATTCAGAGAGGTAGAGCTACTTGCTTTAGATCATACAGCGAATGAATAGCACAGACAGGATTCAAGTCTGCTCCCTTGATTCTGAAGCCAAAGTTCTTTTTCCTGCTTGGTGCAGGTTAGTGGGACACACGGGGTGGATGAGAAGCCTAGGCTGAGGCTTTTCCTGCAGCCCTCCTCAGTTTCCCTCTTCACAGATGCCAGACTCCCTGTCTACCTGTATGAATTTGAGCACCACGCTCGTGGAATAATTGTCAAACCCCGCACTGATTGGGCAGACCATGGGGATGAGATGTACTTCCTCTTCGGGGGCCCCTTCGCCACAGGTATAAAGGCCCCACCGGACACCCCGACTGGGTGTCCAGTTTTCCACGTCTGTATGCAGACCCACCCCTCCATCAGCTGGCCACAGAGAGCTCACCAGTTCCTAATCTGTGATGCTCTCCCAAATGAAAGTCTTCTGCTCTGGAGGCAGCAAAAGTAGCAAGAGTAGGGTGGGATGTCAGCATCTCCTGCTCTGTCTGAAATCCCACATCCCATTCTGCCCCCAGGCCTTTTCACAGGTAAGGAGAAGGCACTTAGCCTCCAGATGATGAAATACTGGGCCAACTTTGCCTGCACAGGGTGAGTCTACCCCCCAACACATCTGGCCATTCTACCTGCCCAGTGCTGGACCTGATGGCCAGCTGCTTTGGATATTTGCCCCAGCATGTCCTACAGGAACTGCCCAGTTGACCCAACCAGAGTGCCCCTTGTTCCTCAGCTTTCCCCAGTCAGTCACCAGATCCTAAATGTCTCCAGAATGTGTCCTTCTTGATCCATGACCCACACTCTTCATTCACTCAAGCATTCCACAGTCATTCACCACTGCTCTCTTTTGGGCCCAGCCCCAGTACTGGGAGCTGGAATTCAAGGATATTGCAGACATGAGCCCCATCCTCCAGCAGCTCACCACGTAAAATCAGGAAATTATAATCTGGCACGCTGAGAGCTGTACTGGGGGAGCACAAGGCATGTTGAGAGCATAGAGGAGGTGTCTGACCCAGTATAGGGGGCAAGCGACATGTAAAGAGAGCTTTGGATAGCCTTGTGACTATTTTCTTAAAAGTTTCACTCTGTCACCCAGACTGGGGTGCAGTGGCGCAATCCCAGCTCACTGCAACCTCCGCCTCCCAGGTTCAAGCGATTCTCCTGCCTCGGCCTCCCGAGGAGCTGGGATTACAGGCCACCACGCCCGGCTAATTTTTGTCTTTTTGTAGAGATGGGGTTTTACCATGTTGGCCAGGCTGGTCTTGAACCCCTGACCTCAAGCAATCCACCCACCTCAGCCTCCCAAAGTGCTGGGATTACAGGCATGAGCCACTGCGCCTGGCTTCTCTCCTTTCAATCCATCCAGATGATACTCATTGTCTGTCTTTTTCTTTTTTTAAATTTTTTTGAGACAGTCTCACTGTACTGCCCAGGCTAGAGTGCAGTGGTGCAATCACAGCTCACTGCAGCCTTGACCTCCCAGGTGATCCTCCCACTTCAGCCTCCCAAGTAGCTGGGACTACAGGCACACACCACCATGCCCGGCTAATTTTTTTTTTTTTTTTTTTTTTTTTTTGAGACGGAGTCTCGCTCTGTCACCCAGGTTGGAGGGCAGTGGCGCAATCTCGGCTCACTGCAAGCTCTGCCTCCCGGGTTTATGCCATTCTCCTGCCTCAGCCTCCCGAGTAGCTGGGACTACAGTCGCCTGCCACCATGCCTAGCTAATTTTTTTGTATTTCTAGTAGAGACGGGGTTTCACCATGTTAGCCAGGATGTTCTCGATCTCCTGACCTGGTGATACACCCGCCTCGGCCTCCCAAAGTGCTAGGATTACAGGCGTGAGCCACCATGCCTGGCCTAATTTTTGTATTTTTTGGAGAGATGAGGTCTTGCTATTTTGCCCAGACTGGTCTCCAACTCCCAGGCTCAAGCCATTTTCTCACCTATGTCTCCCAAAGTGTTGGTCTTACAGACGTTAGCCACCATACCCAGCCCAAGGGTTCTTTCCGAAATAACATCTGACCAAGTCACTCACCTGCTTAAAACCCTTCATGGGTTCTCTCTGCCTCAAGATAAAGTCTGAGCCCCTCAGCCTTGCATGAAAGGCCTTTCAAAATCTTTCGTACGTCATCTCCTTTCCACTTCGATCCCTTTCACACACACTCTGTTTTGTTGTTGTTGTTGTTGTTCTGTTTTTGAGACAGAGTCTTGCTCTGTCACCCAGACTGGAGTGCAGTGGCGCGATCTCTGCTCACTGAAATCTCCGCCTCCTGGATTCATGCCATTCTCCTGCCTCAGCCTCCCAAGGAACTGGGACTACAGGCGCCCGCCACCTCGCCCGGCTAATTTTTTGTGTAGTTTAGTAGAGACAGGGTTTCATCATTTTAGCCAGGATGGTCTCGATCTCCTGACCTCGTGATCCGCCTGCCTTGGCCTCCCAAGGTGCTGGGATTACAGGCGTGAGCCACTGTGCCTGGCCACACACACACTCTGTTTTTACCTAACTCTTGACTTATGCTTCCTCCAAAAGCCTTGGTCTTTTATATCTCTCAACCTGGCACATACGGTTTGCTCTGCTTGGAAGGCCCACCCCAATACACACTTTCCTACTCTTTCTTAAAGATCTAAGTATCATCTCTGTAAAGCCCTCTGGAACCCCAATTCCCAAGGGCAAATTAAATGAGGGCAGGGTGAGAGAAAGAAGCATGATGAAGAGGAACACACGTAATCCTCTCTTTTTTTCTTCTGGGCAGAAATCCCAATGATGGAAATCTGCCCTGCTGGCCACGCTACAACAAGGATGAAAAGTACCTGCAGCTGGATTTTACCATGAGCGTGGGCATGAAGCTCAAGGAGAAGAAGATGGCTTTTTGCGTGAGTCTGTACCAGTCTCAGAGACCTGAGAAGCAGAGGCAATTCTAAGGGTGGCTATGCAGGAAGGAGCCAAAGAGGGGTTTGCCCCACCACCCAGGCCCTGGGGAGACTGGCCATGGACATACCTGGGGACAAGAGTTCTACCCACCCCAATTTAGAACTGCAGGAGCTCCCTGCTGCCTCCAGGCCAGAGCTAGAGCTTTTGCCTGTTGTGTGGGACCTGCACTGCCCTCTCCAGCCTGACATCCCATGATGCCCCCTACCTCAATGTTGACATCCAGTTAGGCCAGGCCCTGTCAACACCATACTGTGCCCAGCTCTCCAGCCTCAGGACAACCTCTCTTTTTCCCTTCTTCAAATCCTCCCACCCTTCAATGTCTCCTTGTGGCTCCTTCTTATGGGACGTCAACCCAGACTGCTACTGCCCCTGTCACTGCACCCAGCTTGGCATTTACCATCCATCCTGCTCAACCTTGTGCCCATCTGTTCACATTGGCCTGGAGGCCTAGGGCAGGTTGTGACATGGAGCAAACTTTTGGTAGTTTGGGATCTTCTCTCCCACCCGCACTTATCTCCCCCAGGGCCACTCCAAAGTCTATCCACAGGGATGTTCTCAATAAAGAAGTGTTGATTTGACCTGAATTTCTCCACCTATAAAATGGGTGCATGAAGTGAATGGTGTCTCAATTTGAGCCCTGGGAGAAAGGGAGTGTTGCTGCCTGTTCCTTAGTGGGCTGTGCCTGGATGCTACACTCAGTCAAGGGGTGCTACTGCAAAGTTGCCTGGGGTACAAAACACTTGCCTTTTGCCTTCATGGTCTCAAGTGCAGTACAGTAGGACAGCCACACCCCATGCTCACTTGTCCATCAGTTTAGGTCTTACTCCTGCATCCAGATTCCTCTGGCCTCTCTTGCAGCCCGTGCATATCCCAGCCTGTCCCACAGTTTTTTTTTTTTTTTTTTTTTTTTTTTGAGATGGAGTCTGGCTCTGTCGCCCGGGCTGGAGTGCAGTGGCCGGATCTCAGCTCACTGCAAGCTCCGCCTCCCGGGTTCACGCCATTCTCCTGCCTCAGCCTCCCGAGTAGCTGGGACTACAGGCGCCTGCCGCCTCGCCCGGCTAGTTTTTTGTATTTTTTAGTAGAGACGGGGTTTCACCGTGTTCGCCAGGATGGTCTCGATCTCCTGACCTAGTGATCCGCCCGTCTCGGCCTCCCAAAGTGCTGGGATTACAGGCTTGAGCCACCGCGCCCGGCCCTGTCCCACAGTTTTGTTTCATTGTTTTGTGGGCTTTTTTTTAAAGTTTTTTATTTTTTGAGACGGAGTTCGCTCTTGTCACTCAGGCTGGAGTGCAGTGGTGTGATCTTGGCTCACTGTAACCTCCACCTCCTGAGTTCAAGCGATTCTCCTGCCTCAGCCTCCCGAGTAGCTGGGATTACAGGTGCCCGCCACCATGCCTGGCTAATTTTTGTATTTTTAGTAGAGATGGGGTTTCATCACGTTGGCCAGGCTGGTCTCGAACTCCTGACCTCAGGTGATCCGCCCATCTCGGCCTCTCAAAGTGCTGGAATTACAGGCATGAGCCACCATGCCTGGCCACTGTGGGCTTTTTGGTGGTAAAATACATGTGACAGATTTTACCATTTTAACTATTTTTGTTTTTTGTTGTGAGATGGAATCTTGCTCTGTCACCCAGGCAAGTGCAGTGGCGCCATCTCAGCTCACTGCAAGCTCCGCCTCCTGGGTTCATGCCATTCTCCTGCCTCAGCCTCCGGAGTAACTGGGACTACAGGTGCCCACCACCATGCCCGGCTAATTTTTTGTACTTTTAGTAGAGACAGGATTTCACTGTGTTAGCTAGATGGTTTCGATCTCCTGACCTTGTGATCCGCCCGCCTCAGCCTCCCAAAGTGCTGGGATTACAGGCATGAGCCACCATGCCCAGCCCCATTTTAACTATTTTTACATGTACAGTTCAATATCAGTAAGTACATTCACATCATTGCACAACCATTGCCACTATTCTGTCTTTAGAACTTTTTCATCATCTAAACTGAAACTCTGTACCCGTTCAACAATGACTCGCTGTTACCCCCTCGTCGTAGCCCCTGGTAACCCCTATTCTGCTTTCTGTCTCTATGAACTTGACTCTTCCAGGTGCCTGACATAAGTACAGTAATGCAGTATTTGTCCTTTTGTGTCTGGCTTATTTCACTTCACATGATGTCTTCAAGGTTCATCCATGCTGTAGCATCTATCAGAATTTCCTTCCGTGTTAAGGCTGGATAATATTCCATTGCAGGTATATACCACATTTTGTTTATCCATTCATCCAGTGATGGGCATTTGGGTTCTTTCCACCTTTAGGCTATTGTGAATAATGCTGCTATGAACACTGGCATAGTGTTCCACAGTATTTTTGTCCCAAAGTAGTGTTGATTAGGTCCTTTATTCCCAGAGGTTCCTGAGTCTCTGGGGCAAATGGAAGCTGCATAGATCTGTGGGACGAGGCCATCTAATTCCTCATACCCCAGGATCTAACCCCCAAAGCAAAGGGATGGTGGAGGAGGGGGAAGCCCCTTCCAAGCAAACAATCCTCACAACGACCATGGATCTTATTATCCCCATTTTACAGATGAAGAAACTGAAGCATTGAGACATTGAAAAGCTTTGCCCAAGGGCCTGAGCTGGTGGAGGCAGAGCAGGAATTGGGTCCAGGCCAGCCTGAGGCACCCTGCCACCTCCATCCAGACCTGGAGCAATCCCTGAGGAGGGTGGCTACCACAGGAGATGGGGCAGCTCTAGTCTCAGGAAGCACAGCTGGAGGATGTCGCAGGCAAACAAACAGCCACTCATCAGTAAGGAGCCAGAGTGAGGGCTGCTAGTTCAGCCCCCGGAAGGTGGTCCTGGGGCAGCCAGTGCAGAACTCAGCAGGGGCTCAGCTCCAACTGAGCCAGATTTCACTCCAGTGTCCACAAGGGACGTTGTGACCTGGAGGTCCTTGGCTACTCACCCTGGGGCCTGCTGGCACAGCCCAGGAGCTAGCCCAGGCCTGCCTCTAATGGTTCCTCCCGATTTCTCTCCTGACAAAGATTCTCTCGTTGACCAAACTCTACTCAGACTTTCCTGAACTTTTTCAGCTAGGCCTGACTTTTTAGCAAGATTCCTGCTAAGTCAGTTTAACCAGAGCCCCCCATCCTTGACATCTGATCACCTTCCATAATCTAATTAAGTTCCTTAGCCTGGGCCAGATACGGTGGCTCACGCCTGTAATCCCAGCACTTTGGGAGGCCAAGGCAAGCAGACCACTTGAGCTCAGGAGTTTGAGACCAGCCTGGCCAACATGGTGAAACCCCATTTTACTAAAAATACAAAAATTAGCTGGGTGTGGTGGTGGGTGCCTGTAATCACAGCTACTTGAGAGGCTGAGGCAGGAGAATCACTTGAACTCGGGAGGCGGAGGTTGCAATGAGCTGAAATCGTGCCATTGCACTCCAGCCTGGGTGACAGAGCAAGGCTCTGCCTCAAAAAAAAAATAAAAAAACAAAAGTTCTTTAGCCTCTATTATCCCCAAGGTGATGTCTGGTCACCCCGGCCTGGCTGCAGCAAGAATCCTATTGGATGGGCTTAGCCAGAATTCCCCCTTTATCTCTGATGTTTCCTTTCAGTAATTTTCCATCCACTGACCCCACCTTGCTCCTTGGCTATACATTCTTACTTGTCCATGCTGTATTCAGAGTTGAGCCCAATCTCTCTCCCCAACTGCCTGACTGCAAAACCCCACTGTGGCAGTCCTTATGTCAATTTTTTTTTTTTTTTTTTTTGGAAACAGGGTCATCTCTGTTGCCCAGGCTGAAGTGCAGTGGTGCAATCACAGCTCACTGCAGCCTCAAACTCCTGGGCTCAAGCAATCCTCTCACGTCAGCCTCCCAAATAGCTGGGACCACAGGCAGGCACCACCAGCCTCGGCTGATTTTTAAAAAATGTTTGGGTCTGACATGGTGGCGCATGCCTGTTATCCCAGCACTTTGGGAGGCTGAGGCAGGAGGACTGCTTGAGCCCAGGAGTTTGAGACTAACCTGGACAACACTGCAAGACCCCATCCCTACAAAAAATATTAATTAAAAAAATTAGCCAGTTATGGTGGCACATGCCTGTAGTCCCATCTACTCAAGAGGCTGAGGTGGGAGAATCACTTGAGCCCAGAAAGCCGAGGCTTCAGTGAGCTATGATCACACCACTGCACTCCAGCCTGGGTGACAGAGTGAGAACCTCTCTACCGCCTTGTCCTCCAAAAGTGCTGGAATTACAGGTATGAGCTACGACTCGGCCCCTATGCCTATTTCGATGCTCCTGAATAAAGTCTGCTTTACTGAGCTTTAACAAGGATCATGAATGATTTTTCTTGAACGCCCCTCCTCATGTTCTCTCACACGGGTCTGTGGGGAGGGCAGCTGCTTCTAAGGGCCACCTACCCAGGGCCCTCCTCCCCAAATTGGAGGAAGTGCAGCTGAGCAGGAGCCAGGGCTTTGTCGGGTCTGGGCTGGCTGTGGCAGATATGACAATCATAAAGGGCTCTGGGGAAACCCTAGAACCCTCCCTAGGAGGGAGGACAAGCCTGGGAGAACCCCAGTGGGCAGTCTGAATGCTGGGCTGGCCCCTGCCTCCCACAGCCCTGGCTCCACACCCTCCCCATACACCCAGGAAGGTGTCCCTCTTCCAGTCAGCTCCTTCCTGGGTTGCACTGCTGGATGACGGAGGCGGGAGGGCTACTTACTACTGCCCCATCGTCCCACCTTGTCTTCCTGTCCCCACTCAGGTCCTCCCACGGCCACCCGGAGTCTCTCCTGAAGCTGTTGCTAGGCCCCATCCCGCGTGGATCGGTGCGCACAACAGACTGGATCTTGGTGAAAGCCCGAGAACACTTCTGAGTCTTGCCCCCAGCCGCCCTCCCCATCCCCTGGATTTCACACCAGCCGGCGCTACCGCGGGGACGAACGAGTGCGGGCGCTAAGCTCTCGCGGGCACAGCGCACACACGCGCCCCCTGCTGGCCGGGCCGGGCCGCCCACCTCCGGCTGAGCCTGGCTCCCGGCTCCGGAAGCAGCTCCCCAGCTTCTCCCCCGCCACGCCCCCACCTTCCACCCTGGAAGCAGCAATTACCGGCCCAGGCGGCTGGGAAAGGGCCAATTAGCGCAAGAGACGCGGCCCCTCTGCGGGGCCCCTGCTGACCGCAGCCCACGCAGCGCTGCCTCCGCCGCGGGTCCCCAGGCTCCCGTCGCCCGCCCGCCTGCCGCAGCCCTCCCGGCCTGGCCGACAGCGCTGGCTGCCTGGGAGCCCCGGGGGACACGCCGTCCGGCCTCCCGCCAACTGCAGTCACGGATCCAACCGCCTGGCGCTGGCCCAGAGCCTGGGCGGACGTGCGGGCGCCGGGAGCTGAATCTCGCCGCCGGTCTCCAGGCGGGGGCGATTCGGCCCAAGCCTTCTTGCCTTCTCATGGCCCTCCTTGCTTCTTCCGGACCTCCAAGGCCCGGTTCTGGGCTGGCCGACTGGAGCAGTTCCCCGCTGGAGGCTATGGCAGAGCCAGGCTTTGGAAACCCACGGCCGGTGCTGGATCGTGCCCCGCGACAGGCACGTGGGCAGGGTGGAGGGTGGGCAG